TGGACAGCGGCTCTGCTCACTGGTGTTGCCTGCATTGTGGGATACCTGGTTGTGCGGGTGAAAAAGATCAACAGCCTCCGACAGGCAGAGGAAAAGATCAAGAGAGCCAGAAACAGGAGAGATGAGAGCTTGCAGCGGGCAGTGCAGGCGGTGCTCCGGTACAAACAGTCGGTGAGAGTTCAGAGCTTTAAACACTGAAATGTTTAACTTTTTCTTTAGATAGAAATCAAAACAAATTATGTGCTTTTAGTTCAGACCTGGCATTGGTGTCAAGCCAGCCTCCAATTCCAGCATTGCAGTCAAGCCAGCCTCCACTTTGTTTTACATTCCCTGTGTATTCAAAGTATTATGGCAAAAGATGTTGAAACCTGATTTCAAAATAACATGTCAATATTAAAGCCATCTCCTTTTGGATTTCAAAGTAAAAGCCCTGTGAATTTTCATTTTTGAACTTCTCTTTCAATGACTTCAGAATGCTCTTAAAAGCAAAAGTCATATTTACAAAGACTAGTTGCATTTTATATCAACACTATCCAACCACAGAAATCTGAAATTGCCCATATTTGACTTACTCTTCTAACGATTTCAAAATGCTCTAAAAAGAAAAATTCTTGTTTCCACAGGATAATTTCACTCTGTATTTACAGTATAAAACCCCACAGTGATACCATGTCAATATCAAGTCAGTCTGATTTTACTTTCCAAAGTAATTGAAATTGATATGGTAACATCGTGAGGTTGTATACTGTTGGTGATACTGTAAGGTGAAATTATCCTGTGGAAACAGGATTTTTTTCTATTTAGAGCATTTCAAAATCGTTACAAAAGTAAGTCATATATGGGCAACTTCAATGGGCCATTACCTGCCATGCCGGCAGGAGGGCTTTTAAACATGAGCATTAAAATAAAAGTTAAAAGCACACCAATAATATGCAGCTATTCTAGGTTGTTTGTTTGATTTTGGTCCATATTGACACAATAGCATTACCAGTTGCAGTTGATTTGTTGATTGCACATCAGTGATGTAAATCTCCTGTTCCACCACATCCTAAGGGTGCTCTGTCAGATTGAAATCTGGTAATTGTGGAGACCATTTAAGCACTGTGAATTGTCATTGTCACGTTTGACAGAGTTTGTAAAGAAGTGGAAAATGGCCAAATGGCAAATCCAGAATCTCTACATTCATATGCTTTTATTTGTTTGCTGCAGCTTTTTTAATGACATAATGATTCTGTGTGGGTCTGTGTCTTCTAGCATCCGACAACCGACTCTACTTTCATCCTGACACTCTCCCTGTCTGAGCTGACACAGCAGCTAAAGGAAGGCTCACTTACCCCTGAGGATGTGCTTTACTCTTACATGGAAAAGGTTCAGTATCCAACATGACACAAGTCTTTCATAATAGCTCAAATACACCAAAAGGTTCAATGTTTCGAACAAGAGTTCAATATTTTACAGGGTGATTACAAAGATCAAGGTCCCTTCAAGGTAAATAAGTTAATCTCAATCTGTCTGTGCTTGTTTCCTTTCAACAGACTCTGGCTGTAAACAAAAAGCTGAACTGCTGCACTGAAATTTTGCTGGAGAGTTTGGACCAGCTGACAACTGTTGGCTCCAACAAGGATGGTCTCTTGTACGGAGTTCCAGTTAGCATCAAAGAAAATATTGCATTTAAGGTATTACAAAGGTTATGCAATGCAAATTTTAGTTACAGTTAAAGTATTTCCCATCAGTATTTCTAAGTATGGTACAGTATTCTCGAGCATCATAGCTCAGGTATTTGATGTAACATTATCATCTTTGTTTTTTCCAACACTAGAATCATGACTGTTCTTGTGGTGTGCTCATTAACCTGGACCAGCCCGCTGAAAAGGACAGTGTGCTTGTTCAAGTCCTGAAGAAACAAGGAGCTATTCCCTTTGTGAAAACCAACTTGCCTCAAGCTCTTTTGAGGTAAATCTTTTATCGGTGATTGACATAACTCTAGAGTCAATTTAAAAATACCGGTGTCTGCCATTTCTGCCCGTCAGCCTCCTAGATGCACCTATGGCATAAATTTGAAAATCCGGGTAATTTTTAGAAAAGCTGACCTATGACCTTAAGGGCGAAGTTATTGAGATTCAAAGTCATCCAAGATTTTTAGAAGATACACCAATTCGAAATTCCTATGTCACCTCACTTAATTCTGGAGTTATCACATTCACAAACTTGGGTATCCACTCTGCCCACCTGGAGGGGTGATGACAATACCCCATCTGCCTTTTATGTCTGATGTGGTTAAAACTCATTCAGTTGTCTTTGCTATTCCACATGTGCATGACATGCAAAGACTTCTCACCTTCTTGTCTGTTCAAATTCAGCTGTGACTGCAGTAATCCTATCTACGGGCAGACTGTGAACCCTCATAACCCCCAGAAGACCTCTGGAGGTTCAACTGGTGGGGAGGGGGCTCTCATCGGGGGAGGGGGCTCCCTGCTTGGTATAGGCACTGATCTAGGTGGCAGTATCCGTATTCCTGCATCCTTCTGTGGAATCTGTGGTTTCAAACCAACAGCGGGTCGGCTCAGGTGGGTCTCATTCAGTCAGTTTCCTGGAAAATTATTATACATTGCTGAGAAAAACTTTTATCTCACCTTTTGTGTAATGATTAGTTCACAGGGAGTTTGTCCAACTTATAGAGGGCAAAAGTCAGGTAAGTGACATATCTACTTAGTAGGGGTGCAACGATACACAAAATTCACGGTTCGGTTCGGTTCGATACTTTGGTGTCACGGTTCGATATTTTTTTGATACAAAAAAAATGTTCATGCCTTTTTAATTTGTCATTTATTAAAATTATAAATATATATTT